TTTCCTGCCTCAGTCTCCTGAGTAGCTGGGATTACAGGCACATGCCACCACGCCCAGCTAATTTTTTGTACTTTTAGCAGAGACAGCGTTTCACCATGTTGGCCAGGCTGGTCTCAAAACTCCTGACCTCAAGTAATCTGCCCACTTTGGCTTCCCAAAGTGCTGGGATCACAAGTGCGAGCCACTGCACCCAGCCACAAAATAACTGGTTTTGGCTGCATACAGTGGCTCACATCTGTGATCCCAGCACTTTGGGAGGCCCAGGCAGGAGCAACACTTGAGCCCAGGAGTTTGAGGCCAGCCTGGGCAACAGAGGGAGGCCACTGTCTCCACAAAAAATTAGAAATTAGCCTGGCATGGTGTTGGGTACCTGTAGTTCCGGCTACTTGGGGGAGGCTGAGGTAGGAAGATTGCTTGAGCCCAGCAGGTGGAGGTTGCAGTGAGCCGAGATCGTGCCACTGCACTCCAGCCTGGCTAACAGAGTGAGACTCTTATCTCCAAAAAAAAAAAATGCTGCTGTCCTGGATTTGTAAGTAGCCTGAGTGACTCTTTGCTAATCACTATTCAGAGGCTTCTCTGAGATCAGCCACTGACTTGGAGAGATACCAGTAAAGCTTTGAGAGGTGGAGGCTGATCTTAGTCTACTGTTCTGAGATCTCTGTCTTAATCCAGAATAACAGCTATAATAGCTAAGGATGTCTCTGTGGCTGGTGAAAAGGAAGTTTGGGGGTCTGCTTGTCTTGCTCCCCAAGTGGGTCAACCTAATGTGAGTGGAGTGAATGAGGAAGTAAAGGCTTAACAGATGTCTTGTGACGCTTCAAGTGAGCTGTGATCATGCCACTGCATATCACCCATGCCTGGGCGACAGAAAATGACCCTGTCTCAAAAACAAAAACAAAAACAAAAACAAAAAGCTACTATTTCCCAAAACAGAAAGATTAGTGAGAAAAATGACTTTTTTTTTTCTTTTTCTTTTTCTTTTTACTGAATCCCAAATGTGATAGTAAGTTGTTGTTTTGTTTTTTTTAAAAAAAAAAAAAAAAACATTTTTGGAAGTCTCTTTAAGTCTAGCTTAACAGAAGACAGCTGGATTTTTATATCTGCTTCTGTATTCAATCTGTTGCAAATTATTTTGGTTGTAGCACATGAAGAAAACTCGGCCTCACATTGATTTGTAATTGGAAAGTTACAAGTATTTTAAACATCTTTTAAGATAATTGTGAATATTTGTCTTTGATACTACACCAAAACTCTACAAGAGGTTGTTTTTAAATGTTTTTTGCACCGTGGAATCTGAAAACTTCTCTGTAAACTTCTATTGTTAAATTAAAACCCATTGTCTGCCTTGTACTTTAAATGGATCTTTACTCATGGATGACTTTGTAACATCATGTGTTAACCATTTGGAAGGCGATGATTCACTGGGTAAATGTAGTTGTTATACATTATGCAGTATCCAAAAATCACATTCATTAATGTCACCATTGATCTCATCAGAAAGTCCTTAAATATTGAGAAGCCATCAAGCTCATGGTGATGCACGTTTTCCGAAATTCTAAATTTCTCTTGGAAAGTTGGAATTTTTTCATCATTGGCAACAAATAGTCCATTGTTTTCCTTGAAGACACAGGCTCATTTAGTTCATTTTCAAGAAAATACGTACCAAATACCCAAGTCAGAATAATCATAGTTTATCAGACATTTTCTCAAGTAAAAATGGTGTTCCATAAAGAAAAACAGCAAGTTCAGCTTGCAATTCAAACAATTGCACGTGTGCTTTTCTAAGTTAGAAAATGATCTCACTTAGACAACCATGTTACATAGACAACTATCTTACATCTGTTTGCAGCAAAAGTACTTTACATGTAGTTTTCGTTTTGTCATATTAAATAATAAAACGCCATGACTCCACTTTGGGAGGCCGAGGCAGGTGGATAACCTGAGGTCAGGAGTTCAAGATCAGCCTGGCCAACATGGTGAAACCCCTGTCTCTACTAAAAATACAAAAATTAGCCAGGCATGGTGGCAGGTGCCTGTAATCTCGGCTACTCGGAAGGATGAGGCAGGAGAATTGCTTGAACCCAAGATGTGAAGGTTGCAGTGAGCTGAGATTGTGCCATTGCACTCCAGCCCGGGCAATAAGAGTGAAATTCCATCTAAAAAAAAAAAAAAGCCATGACTCAAGTTTTCAGATTTTAATAATTTTGGTACCACTGCCTTGATTTCTGAAGGTGCCAGTTATTTGACCCACCTTTGTTTTTGTGCTGTCAGTCAAGAAGGTAACCGATGTCTTAGATTATTATGAGATAGTTTTGATTTCAGAGTTCCCCTGAAAGGTCCTCAGGGACTCCCAGAGGTCTTTGGACCACCTTTTGAGAACCCCTGGCTTAGACCAATCAGAACCCTGTCATAGACTGTGGTAAACTCACTTAAAAGGTATGTTATATCACAAAGGAGGAGGGTGGATGGATGTTGGGGGCAACCACAAGGCCTGCTATGAGAATGACCAAAGCAATCAGCATAAGTAAAGAATTAGGCCAGGCGTGGTGGCTCACTCCTGTAATCCCAGCACTTTGGGAGGCTGAGGCAGGAGGATCACTTGAGGTCAGGAGTTCGAGACCAGCCTGGCCAACATGGTGAAACCCTATCTCTTCTAAAACTATGAAAATTAGCTGGGTGTGGTGATCCTTGCCTGTAATCCCAGCTACTCAGGAGGCTGAGGCAGGAGAATTGCTTGCACCCAGGAGGTGGAGGTTGCAGTGAGCCGAGATCATGCCACTGCACTCCAACCTGGGTGACAAAGTGAGACTCTGTCTCTTAAAAAAAAAAAAAAAAAAAAAAAAAAAAGTGTTGCTGTCCTGGATTTGTAAGTAGCCCGAGTGACTCTTTGCTAGTCACTATCCAGAAGCTTCTCTGAGATCAGCCACTGACTTGGAGAGATACCAGTAAGGCTTTGAGATCTAGAGGCTGATCTTAGTCTGCTGTTTGGAGATCTCTGTCTTAATCCAGAATAATAGCTAAGGATGTCTCTGTGGCTGGTGAAATGGAAGTTTGGGGGTCTGCTTGTCTTGCTGCCCAAGAGGGTCAACCTAATGTGAGTGGAGTGAATGAGGTAGTAAGGGCTTAACAGATGTCTTGTGATGCCGGGGCAGGAGGTAGCTTTAAGTTCCTTTTCTTCCTCACCCCCACCTTACACCCAACCTTGGAAGCTGGGATAGTGCTGACTCTCATGGCAGCCATAATGCTATCAGGCCTGGCTTTGCAGACAAGGGGAATCTGGAAGAGAAGGGTAGGGGCAACAGAGACAGAGAGAGGTAAAGAGTGTTGCATCAAGCACATGTGTCAGAGGCGTTTAAACCAGAGCGCCTCCATTTTGAGTGAAGGCTAGAAAAATGAGGCTGCGACTTGCTAGTCCGCATTCCCTGAAAGTTAGGCATTCCTAGTCTCTAGATGTTTATGGTTAAGGGAACAAATTAATAATGCTTACTAAACAGACCCAGACTTGAGAGTGTCCAGATATCCCGATATCTGGAGAACAAAGGCATTCCTAATTTTGCTTTAAAAATAATAATATTGATTATTGCAAAATATGGTAATTAGGAAAATTAATCCTTTATCACAAACCCTTGTAGCAGAAGATATCTCCCCATATATACAAGCATTACAAGCATTGTACCTTAGTTGGATACGTCCCTCCTCTTATTTTCAGGAATGCCCTGCTGGAGTGCAGTGGCGATCTCGGCTCACTGTAACCTCTGCCTCCCGGGTTCAAGCGATTCTCCTGCCTCAGCCTCGTGAGTACCTGAGACAACAGGCTTGCGCCACCACGCCCGGCTAATTTTTGTATTTCTAGTAGAGACGGGGTTTTGCCATGTTGGCCAGCTGCTCTGGAACTCCTGACATCAGGTGATCTGTGCGTCTCAGCCTCCCAAAGTGCTGGGATTAGGCGTGAGCCACCGTGCCCAGACACCACTTTACTTTCTTAATAAACTTGCTTTTACTTTGCACTGTGAATTTGCTCTGAATTGTTTCTTGCATGAGATCCAAGAACCCTCTCTTGGGGTCTAGATCGGGACCCCTTTCCTGTAACACATGGACCTTGGGCTGATCTCCAAGATTAAGAGGGCAAGGTACTCAGCTGCAAGGGTCAGCAGCTGCTCTGTCTGGCTAGCCTCGGCCAACTTACCGAATTTAAATCGCCCAGTGACAGCTTTTCCTCCAATATTTTCAAAATGCTCCCAATATCCTCAAGTTAGAACAATCCAGAAATAGTCTTATGGTAAAACCCTTTTGGGAGGTGTGAAAGTAGAGTCCTCCCACTGTTTCCTTCACAACGCTTTTGCCCCAACCTCAATCGCCCAGGCAGCACATTTTTTTCCGACACCCCCACCAAGGGAGGAACAGAGACATCTCCAAACCAGCTGCCCTGCGCCAAGCTGTTACAAAAAAGAGAGATGAGGCTCCCGGTTTATGCAAACATATTTGGCTCGGTGTCTAGGATCTTCTTTTTCAAACCCAGAAGGGGATTGCAGGCACACGGCCGCGGTGCTGTCTGCCGCTCTGAAAGGAAGTCGACCTACTTGACTGGCTTCACTGGAGTCCGGTCCGAAAGCACCGGAAAGTTGCAGGCGCACAGTATACGCTCAGCTGTGTCCAAAAAATAACCTATCAATCACTGCCTTAAGCTTTGTTTCCTTCCTGAATTTTTTTATTTTCACGAATATTTATGCTTTTACAAACTGTTTATCATTTCCTCTCCAGAACCAAGAGGGGCTCGCCCCCGCCCGGCCCCCGCCCGGCCCCCGCCCCGGGTGCGTCCCTGCAGGCGGCGCCCTACTCCGACAGTGCCCACTGCACCGCAGGGCGGACGGGCAGCGCGCCCGGGGGCGGGGCCTCTGCGGAGGCATCGTGCTCTCCGATTGGCCTTTCGCGTCCTCGTGACGCCAGACCCCGCCCACGCGCCCCTCCTCCGCATCTGCGCGGGGGAGCGGCGGCCCACGGCTGAATGGGCGCGAGCGCGGTGCCGGGGGCGGGTGGGGGCGCTGGGTCCCGGGCTGGCTGCCGGCCGGCGCCCCCTCACTAGTATGCGGAGGAAGGCGGCGGGCTGGGCGGAGCGGCGTCCCCTGCAGCCGCGGACAGAGGCAGCGGCGGCACCTGCCGGCCGAGGTACGTGGCGCAGCCCCCTCCTCGGCGTCGCGGGGGCCCGGGGGCTGGGGGCTGCGGCGGCGACCTGTCTCTGCCCGGCCCGGCTAGGCGCGGCGTTTCCGCCTCGAACCCCGCGGGCAGCGTCCAGGGCACGGCACCCTCAGGCGAGCCCAGCCGGGGCGCAGGCGAAGGGTCGTGGTCCCAGGCCGTGTGGACCGGGCAGGGGCGCCCGGGCAGGTGTGGAGGCGGTGGAGGGTGGGGCGGACCGCCGGTTGTCGGGTCCCGCCGCAGTGGCCCTTTCCCTGCCGCTTTCTGCTGCAGCTTGGGATTTAATTCATTGCTGGAAGCTTCGGAGCTAGCAGAGCCGAGTTAACTCGTTTTCCTGGGATGGGCTTAGGGGACCCCTTGCAGGGTTACTAGCAGCTCCTGAAACCGCTCTCTGCATCTATCGGGGAGGCGTGATGTGGGGCCGCTAGTAGAAATTCGCCGGTGACCTTCCCTGCACCCTGTCTGCAGCCAGCCTTGCAGAGAAGACAGGTTTTGGCGACCTTTTGATTTCTTCTGAATTGTAAGCCGTGGCTTGACGCGGGTGTGCATTCATTGTACGCCTTGCGTGTGTAAGTAACACAGGGTTTTCCGAGAGCATCCCCGAGGAACCCTGCCCCTACCCCACACCAGCTTGGTGACCTTGGCAGACACTGATCCCGCTGTGGGGCTCCAGCTCTTGGTCTCTCCTGAGAAGCTTACCCTTATGGCCGAGGTCCGTTCCAGGCCCCGGGTTTTTCTAATGACAAAAAAATACGTTTACGAGGATAGAGGGTCCTGCAGAATCACTAGCTGACTCGGAAGACGAATTTTATATCTTCATGTCTTAAGTCATGCATGCGGCCTTTGCTTAATTAGGCATCGTTCATTTGAAGGGGAAAATGGTTTTATGTGCTGCGCTTCATCTGGCACCGGTGGTTGCCTGCTCCTCGTGCCAGAGCCGTGCTGGGTGTCACAGAGAGGAAGGAGACTCGTCTCCTGCCCTCTGGTGTTTAGCTGCCCTCCCCCAGGCTTATGGCTGCTAATCCTTTTCAATGGAAGGATACAGCTGCTGAAACTGTGGAAGAGGAATCCATTTCTGCTGCATGAAGGGGCACAGACTTGAATACAGTCAGGACAGGTTGTGATTTCACTTGTGTAATCCTGAGAGCTTGACAGCTTTGAGGAGTATCCAACATTGGTAGTCACAGAGCCTGGAAGCACCTGAATTCCAGCTGTCACTTTGAGAAGGAGAGATTCATACGAACTGCGAGAGCATATAACCAGCATGTCTTGAGTCTTTTACCCGTGTGCCTGTTATATGGGTGCTGCTGTTTTTGTAAGACGAAATGACCCTTGGATATTCTTGATTATGATCAGCGTTTCTTCGTCTAGGCAAGAAAAGAAATAGGTGAGATAGGAAGACATGAAGGGGCTCATGGAAGAGAGAGGGCTGGCAGGCATAAATTCTGAGAGCTCACATTTATGACTGTTTAGACGGTTCTTATAATTTTGGCATAAATTGTAAATTGTTGCATGTTACCAAAATAGATTGGTGATGAATGTTAAGGATATATCCATGGCAGAATAAGAACACACTCTTTGTTCTTTGGTTTGCCTCCTCTGGTTCTTCTCTGCTTGCCTTGTGGGACTGTTTGCAGCGGTGAGGGGAATTTATCTAGCAGGTCGACTCTCAGGAGGCAGTGAATGAAAAGAGGTTAGTGAGTCCTCTGTGGGAGTCCATTCCAGGTCCTGGAGGGCTGAAGTGGGTGTCTTGGAGCCAGCAGTTTCTGGGAGAAGGGATAAGGCTCTCACCTTCCACACTCCCCTGGCTCCTGAGGAGCAATTTAATCCGCACTGCCTGTGGACACGATGGAGGACTGAGATCACTCCCAAAGGGCGTGCTCCGTGGTTTTAGTCTGCTGGGAAGCTCTGGCAGAAGTAAAACAACTGAGAATATACACACGTTCATGATGCTCCGAGCTTCCTAACTGCTGAGGAAGGAAAAGCAAGGGCTGGATCAGTGTGGGTGGCATAAGTTAGCAGAGGCATCCAAACTGGGGTGAATCACAGGCCTGGTGTGGGAGGAAACCATAAATATGTTGGTGACACGCAGGCTCGCCCAGGAGACAGCCAGCTTAAGCACATGTGCAAAGGAGAAGCAAGTGAAATGCGTAAGGGAGCAGGAGAAAAGTCAGCTTTGAGGCTTCAAGGACACTACCAGGCTTGTCTTACCTGGACACCAGACAGACAAAGGCTTCTTTTTTTTTTTCTTTTTTTAAAGTGTAGCATAGATACTAGGAAAGTAGACATACCATAAGTGTCCTGCTCAATGAATTTTCCAGCCTGAACATGCCCATGCACTCAACACTTAGATCAACAAACAGAACTGGCCGAGACCCTGGGAGCTCCCCTTGTGTTGTACTCCAGTCATGGCCTCCCCCAGGATCAGCCTTGAACTCCTGGACTCAAGCAATCCTCCTGCCTTAGCCTCCTCAGTAGCTGAGACTACAGGCGCACACCACCAGACCCAGCTAATTTATTTTATTTTATTTTTGTAGTGACGGCTCCCACCATGTTGTCCAGGCTGGTCCCCAACTCCTGGCCTCAAACTGTTCTCCCACATTGGCCTCCCAAAGCGCTGAGGTTACAGGCGTGAGCAACTGTGCCCGGCTAGTGATTGTCTTCTTTCCTTAAGCATTGAGTTTCTGAGAGTCACTCATGGTGCTGCCCATGGTTGAAGCATGTTTACTCATTGGTGATAGGGGCCATCGGGTGAATATACCACATAGTCACGCATTGTCAGTGACATTTGGGCAGTTTCAGCATTTGTTTGTTACAGAAAGTGCCACTGTGACCACTCTAGAGTCTGGCTTTGGTACATATGTGTATGCATTTCTGATAGGTCTATACCTAGGCGTGGTATTGCTGTTTTAGGAGCCCTGGGCACACCTATTTCATTCCAGTTTTGAAATGACCACATTGATAGTTCCTGTTAGCTGATGAGGGCGACAGTTCTAAGGAGACTGGGGCAGGAATCAGCAGTCCTTCTAGCAGTCAGGATCAGTTTCTACCTGGCTGTGTATGGTGTCAGTAAGTGTCGTCACCTATAGGCCGCAGTCTCCCAGTGGGTCAGGCAGCAGGGCAAGCTGAGCTGTGGGGAACCGTTAGCTCCTAAAGAACCTCGACCTAAGGGAAGTGTTTCTCCGATGAAACTGCCTGGCTTGGTCTCAACTCCCACCCTTCTTGCTGCAAACAAACCCCCGCTCTTTGAGCTCTCATAATACTGTACTTCCTATACTTTATGTCTACTTCTCTGGCCTGCTTTCTCTGCATTTCTGCTCAAAATTATCTGTGACCTAGAGGAAAAGCCCATTTCTTATTTGGGTTTTTGAGGCCATGTAAGACATTTTTGTTGTCCTGTTATTACAGCATGGAACAATATTCAGAATTAAGTTATTGGATGGTTCACCAAGTCCTGTACCCATGAATTCTTTCCTTTTTTCCTTCAATTTTTAACCTCTGGAATTATAACAGTTAAATATCATGTGATAGGATAGGATCAGTTTGATAACAGATTAGAAAGGTCTGCTTTGGTGGAATAGTACTTCTGTCTTTTGACCGTTAGGGCTGTGTTTAAGACCGTGTCTTTTTCATGATTCAGGGCTTATGTGTATTGAGTTCTGAGCAGGGGCAGTTTTTCTGTTACACGTATCGTTTCTTCCTCAGCCTTCCTCTCTCCTCAGCCTCTGCATTTTTATCCTCTTCTGCCCTGTTCTTCACCCCCTTTTTGCTTTTCATAAATATCTTATTCTCATCTGTAATCTATACTCTAGCAGAAGAGAGTAGGACAAGTATGGCCTCTGATACTCCCCTCTCTTTGCTTGTCACTTTCTGCAGTCTAGTTGTTGTCACCCAGGACTTGGGAACTGATGTGGGCTTCTTGCTCATCCTTCCTCTAGATCACTACTGTCCAGTGGAAATATAACCTGAGCCGCACATCTAATTTTATATTTTCTAGTAACTACATTTTAAAAATTGAAAAGAAACAGGTGGATCAAAGTTTCAATTTCCCAAAAAGTTTCCATTTCTAAACCCTTATGCACCTAATAACACAGCTGCACACTATGTAAATTATTAATGAGCTGCTTTATACTCTGCTTTTCACAGTAAGTTCACTCCCTGCCCCCACAAGTGAACCCACATGCTACAAAACATAGATATGACAAAAAGAAATAAATGCTTTCCTACTCACTTTATTCTCATCTATTGTAGACATGTTACATATACTAACTAATGTAATTTTCACCACAACCCTAAGTGTTTGGTGCCATTGTCATCCCCATTTTATAAAGGAGGGTATTGAGGAAGAGAGGTTAAGAAGCCATAGGGGGCAGAGCTGGGTTCAGACTCAGGCAGTCTGGCCTGGAGGTGGTAAATGAGGCTGTTGTATCCATGTCTTTGTGGTCTGTAGTGCATTCCCAGCCTGCCCCGTGGAACAGCTCCTGGTGAAGTTGGCCAGGGTGATCTCAGGGGCCTGAGAGATGGCTCCATCCTGTCAGGTGAGTGCGCTCCTGGGCAATGCCATCGTCGCTTGCTTTCAGCTCCATAGCAGCCTCCTAACTGGTCCTGCTTCGTGAGAGGACTTTCCCATCTCCAGTCGAGCCTCGAGAGAGGTCTCCAAAATCCAGTTCCACTTTAAACCACCCCACCACCGGTTGCTCCCTTTTATGCTTAGAGTAAAATTGTGGCCCCCTGTGGCATGGACTGCTTGCTTTTCTAGCGTCTCAGGGTGCTGTGCCCTCCTGGGTAGACCCTTTAGGCACACTGCACTTGGCATTCTTTAGGCACGCTGCACTTGACATTCTGCCATCCATCCCCACTGTCCCTGCTCCTGAGGCACCTGCCTCTCCCATCCCACTCCAGTTCCTATTCAGACCTGGGCAGAAACATTCTTTCCTCTGGGAGCCCTTTCCTAAGACACACATTGTATTAGT